ATATAACGCGAGGGAATTCCAAGCGTGGCGATATAACGCGAGGGAATTCCAAGCGTGGCGATATAACGCGAGGGAATTCCAAGCGTGGCGATATAACGCGAGGGAATTCCAAGCGTGGCGATATAACGCGAGGGAATTCCAAGCGTGGCGATATAACGCGAGGGAATTCCAAGCGTGGCGATATAACGCGAGGGAATTCCAAGCGTGGCGATATAACGCGAGGGAATTCCAAGCGTGGCGATATAACGCGAAGGAAGTCCAAGCGTGGCGATATAACGCGTAGAAATTCCAAGCGTGGCAATCTAACGCGAGGGAATTCCAAGCGTGGCGATATAACGCGAGGGAATTCCAAGCGTGGCGATATAATGCGTAGAAATTCCAAGCGTGGCGATATAACGCGTAGGAATTCCAAGCATGGCGATATAACGCGCGGGAATTCAAAGCGTGGCAATATAACGCGTGGGAATTCCAAGCGTGGCGATATAAAGCGAGGGAATTCCAAGCGTGGCGATATAATGCGTGGAAGTATTACGCGTGGCGATATAATACGTAGAAATTCCAAGCGTGGCGATGTAATGCGTAGAAATTCCAAGCGTGGCGATATAATGCGTAGAAATTCCAAGCGTGGCGACATAACGCGTGGGAGTACTACGCGTGACAATATAACGCGATGTAATTCCAAGTGCGGCGATGTAACGCGTAAAAATTTCAAATATGGCAATATAACGCGTGGAAATACGAAGGTGTGAAAATATAACGCAGCTATAACACGTGTGGTGACACAACGCATTCTACCACGTGCGGTGATATAACAACTTATACCATATGTAATGATATAACACCTTATACCATAAGTTGTGATATAACGCGTGATAATTCCGATTTAGTTTTCCACTCTATAGTGAAAGCGTCAATAAATTCATAGTTCCTACTGTAACGTGAACTTAACCTTCAATTGAGTTATCGAATATTCGATTAATAATTATCGCTCATTTGAGTTAATGAACAAACGAAGTGCTCAGCCAGTTTATCGTTCAGTACACATTGAGTGCACAACTATATTGTGATAAGCTGTACAAAACGGAAGCGAAATGTGCGCGTCTGTTTATATGAATCTATTATTTGAAAACGCTTATAGTCGTTCGGTTACAGTGTTTACGACAATAAACAGTGGATAATCAGTACGCTATGAAGTTGTGGAGAAGGTTAAAGTCGTGGTGTCTTGAAATGCTTCAAAAAAGTATCGATAATTCAGTGAGTACATTTTTATGAATACCTTAAGACAATTTCAATGCCGATGTATAATTTGCAAAGCGTATTTTTGTACACCGTTAGACGTGAAAATGTTAGACACAATATTGTAAGAAGGAATTTTGGTCGGTTTCGTGTCGCGTTCTTGCCAGATTTTTCGTCGTCCCCGTGTTCGAGGGAAATCACCGAAACGTAATTTACTCAGTGGCCAAGTAAAAAAGGAGAATGTCGAACGACACTCGTCAGACTGGTCAGAACAAGAGGGAGTAAATAAAAGCAAGTCCTGTATACCAAAGTTCGTCGTACACGAACATATTTTGCACGCGTACGAACATCTACGTTTATAAACACGGCCACGCAAATATGTACTGGGTGTTGCAAAATGTATTCACCTTATTTTTTTATTAGTATGAAGCGATATAACACACTGGAAAACTCCTTGCGTGCCGATATAACGCGTTGAAATTTTCACGCGTGGCGATATAACGCGCTGGAACTTCCACGCGTGGCGATATAACGCGCTAGAAATTCCACGGGTGGCGATATAACGCGCTGGAAATTCCACGCATGGCGATTTAATGCGCTGGAAATTCCACGCGTGGCGATATAACGCGTTGGAAATTTTACGCGTGGTGATATAACGCGCTGGAAATTCCACGCGTGGCGATTTAACGCGCTGGAAATTCCACGCGTGGCGATATAGCAACTGGCGATACAACGCGCTGGAAATTGCACGCGTGGCGATATAACGCGCTGGAAATCCCACGCGTGGTGATATAACGCGCTGGAAATTCCACGCGTGGCGATTTAACGCGCTGGAAATTCCACGCGTGGCAATATAACGCGGTGGAAGTTCCACGCGTGGCGATATAACGCGCTGGAAATTGCACACGTGGCGATATAACGCGCTGGAAATTCCACGCGTGGCAATATATCGCATTAAACCACCACACATGACAATATAACAAAAAAGTCCCATATAACATAAGTAAGTGTACGTACGGCGATGTAATATATGAAAATCTAATGCGCAGTAACAGTCACGTGGCGATGTCTCGAAAGAGAATTGTAAAATCTTTTGTTGAAACTGTAAGTAACACTTGTTCGTCGCTGTGTATACCGAAAGATACACAAAAATGTGGCTGTGTTCGCGTATAGCTCGCGGGTCATAACGGCCAAAGAATCTTCCTTGAGGCCTTTGCCCGGACTACTTTGGCCACGGACTCGAAAAACCTCGTTTCATATTGTGAAGAGAGGCTGAAATTCCGACGGGATCGTTAACACTTTCACGCCAGGTGTGTTCTAAAGTTGCGTGCAATTGTTTGGTAATTTAACGTGTCACGTACTGCGGCTGTAAAACACAATGCAAGTACTACGCAAATGTTCTCTTCGAATTGTGTTTGAACAAGGTAGAAAAATTGTATTGACCGGCACAGTGAAATCGGCCGTATGTGGTACGGCACACTTTAACGCGTTAACTGCCTCAGTGGATACGGACATCTGTGGTAAGACGCATTAAAGTACCAGTTATTAAGGATACGATTGGTTTGATTCAGGTTTAAGCTACTTATTTGCTATCTTATATTAATCTTGTCGGTGCTATTTGACTTCTTTTAATTTGTCAGAATATGTATTCGGTTTTCGCGAAACGAGGTTTTTTCGTACAAGAATAATATAATTATTGCAGGTTTGCATTCACAAAACGATCTTATCCGAGTGCATCCGTTTCGAATGTACAATCGAAGGAAGTGACGAAAAAAATTTAGAGCATGGGAAAAATCGTGAACGATATCAAGGACATTTCGAAATTATTCTTCCTTCTTAGAAGACTTTCCGTTAATGAAAAAAAAATAGTATAACATGTGTTAACGTAAGAAGCAACTTAATGAATATGTAAGTACGTTTCGTGTAGACGTAATTCTCTTCATAAATTTATCGTGAGCGCAAAGAATCTAATAAGTCCTTGATTTCGGTTATATAACAAATATGTCGTAATAAGTTCAGAAACTTCTCTCTACAAAATAAAACAAAATTTTTAGAACTATTTCATAGTCTTAGTGTTTGGAACTTTTTGAAAGCATACGCATGAGTTGTTATCGATAATTCATTATAATTGTGTATTTCAAAGTATTATTTTCTATAATTTTAGTTGTTTACAGTATATAACATAGCCATTACCGAAGCTAATTAAAGCAAAAAGAGCTATATATTTCTTTTCTTCATTGGAAACCGCAATTCGGTGACATCGAAGTTTGTAGCAGAATAAAAGATACTGTAATACTGGCAGACGAACAAGTGTTACTTCACCACGCGTTATATGGCCATATGTGGTATTCTCATGCGTTGTATTGCCACGTGTGGTGTTTCTTCACGTTATATTGCCACGAGTGGTGTTTCTTCACCTTATATTACCACGCAGGGTGTTTCTTCACGTTAAATTGCCACGAGTGGTGTTTCTTCACGTTATATTACCACGCAGGGTGTTTTTTCACATTATATTGCCACGAGTGGTGTTTCTTCGCGTTATATTGCCACGCGTGGTGTTTTTCACGTTATATTACCACGTTTGGTGTTTCTTCACGTTATATTGCCACGAGTGGTGTTTCTTCACGTTATATTGCCATGCTTGATGTTTCTTTACGTTATATTGCCACGCCTAGTGTTTCTTCGTGTTATATTGCCACGCGAGGTGTTTCTTCACGTTATATTGCCACGCGTGGTGTTTCTTTACGTTATATTGCCATGCTTGATGTTTCTTCACGTTATATTGCCACGCCTAGTGTTTCTTCGTGTTATATTGCCATGCGTGGTGTTACTTTACGTTATATTGCCACGCGTGGTGTTTCTTCACGTTATATTGCCACGAGCGCTGTTTCTTCACGTTATAACACCACGCCTAGTTTCTTCGCGTTATATTGCCACGCGTGAAGTTTCCTCACGTTATATTGCACACGTGGTGTTTCTTTACGTTATATTGCCACCCACGGTGTGCCTTCAAGTTATATTATCACGCCTGGAGTTCCCTCGCATTATATTGCCATGCACAGTACTCTCGTTATATTGCAACAGTATTCCTAAGCATTATACTACCACGGGCGGTATTTTCACGCGTTATATTGCCACAAGTGACATGTCCACGTTACATCGCAATATATGGTAATCCACCTGTTATATTGCCACCTGTGCTACTCCACGCGTTAAAATAGAATTAAAAAATTATTATCAGTCATTACAGAAAGGTTGAAACCAGTGAACCATCGATCAAATCGTCGATAATATATCCGGATGCTTATAACTTTGTCAAGAATATGGTACATAAAAACTAGTGATCGAATTAAACCGTCACGGTGATTAAACTCGATTTCTAAATTTTACCAGCGCAACCACAGAATCTTTTAATGCAGTAAGAACGCCGAGAACACACGAAGAAAAGCCTAGAGACCGTTCAAAGCGTATCACAAACAAACGAAGCATGTGTCCGACTACGTCACGCGCCATTAGCGGCTGTGCGCGATATCTTCAAGGCTCGAAAGTGAACATTTTTTTCTCCTCTGCGAAGCTGAAGAAACTCGACTGGTTTGTAGTAAATGGAGCAAACGTTAAACAGAGCGTCCAGGGACCAAGAAAATCGATCGAAATTAATATTCGAGTCTGTTCGATCGACCTACTTCTAACCTCTATCCACGATTTTGATCGGCCGTGAACAAATCGAGAATCTGCTTCGAGTAAAAATTTGTCTTTTGACTTACCCCTTCAGGATGTTGCTGAAGATCAGAATGCAGATCGCGGATGCGACCCCAGCCGCCATCAGGTTCATACCAGGTGACCCGAACATTTCTTCTACTCGCTGGACAACTTTTTCTACTCGATTCTAATCGCTTCAACAACTTTCGTCTCCCCGGCAATAAAGATGGTAACGGTGTTAGAAACTGTGGAGTCCTTTTTCGAAGTCCATTTTTCTTTCGGCGAGTGGATTGAAATATTGTTAAGAAGAAAACTTGAGAATTTCTATTTCACGGAATAAACATTCGATCGGCTTTGAGCAAGCGCTGTCAAGATACTGGCTCTGTTGACTGATTCTGGGATGTTTAATCGCGCTGTACGATACGATGCGTGTTCCAGTTATCAGATATACGGTCGATAAGGCGGTAAATCGAATTTGGACTCGATGGAGAAAACGGTTGCTTCCGAGATGCTCCTCGATGTTCTACCGGATTTTTAATTTGTATTCATTCTAACTCTCTATTAGCATACGAAGTTTCTCGGCGGAACTCGTGACACTAACTTTTGTCCTCGTCGCAGTTTTCATGATCGGTTGTCAGAACCAGTTAGTCGAATACAATGTTTCTATCTTCTTCGCTAATTTCTGCGTTTAAGTATCACATTAAGTGACTCGCAATTCAAAGTAATTTAAGAATGGAGGCAAAAATGACCAGTGCCATTTTGGAATTGCTTTCTGTTTGCAAAGCGGCTAATTAAGCGAAGGCCAATGTCAGCGAATTTATCACTCGCAACTTTATCTCTTCCACTTTTCAATTAACGTTGTCGCGCACTATCATTGTAGACATCTTTATTGTTTAACACTTTAGTTAAAATTTTGTTCAATCGAACGACACAGAGAAAACTATTCAAAGTGTCAACGCGTCATACTCGAGTGATCCACACCACCAAAGAACCGCGGAGATTTGATCTCGCGAGATCGAAGAAATTTTGGATCTCGCCGTGCGATGTCGCACTTTTCACGATCGAAAATCGTTTGCTCTTCGTACCGTTATTAAATCGGTAACTGGTGTATCCAGCGGTGAGATGTGAGCGGACCGCGCGATAAGATTGAACTGAAGCAAAGGTAAGGTCCTCGTAGACACAGCCGTGCACCTCCTCAACATCTCTTACTGTACTAACGTGTTTATTACGCGTAGTGCAAAAGTCGTTACTTCATTTAATATGACCGACCAAGGAGTACACATTGCAGACGTAATTCACCATTCGACATGGCTTAAACTCCTCTTTCGCAGGAAACTGCATCTCGAGTGACGTGTCATAATTCTATTACTCTGTCAAATAGTTCATGCTTTTGTAGAGAATGACATATTGAGAGGAAAATCGAAAATGTAGTACTATTATTGTATTGCCAGGTGCTATATCACTCGCGTGGAAATTCTATCGCGTTATATCGCCACGCGTGGAAATTCCAGCGCGTTATATCGCCACGCGTGGAATTTTCATCGCGTTATATAGCCACGCGTGGAATTTCCAGCGCGTGATATTGCCACGCGTGGAATTTAGATCGCGTTATATCGCCACGCGTGGAATTTCCAGCGCGCAATATTGCCACGCATGGAATTTCAATCGCGTTATATTGCCACACGTGGAATTTCCAGCGCGTTATATCGCCGCGCGTGGAATTTCCATCGCGTTATATCGCCACGCGTGGAATTCCCAGCGCGTTATATCGCCATGCGTGGAATTCNGTTATATCGCCACGCGTGGAATTCCCAGCGCGTTATATCGCCACGCGTGGACCTTCCAGCGCGTTATATCGCCACGCGTGGAACTTCCATCGCGTTATATCGCCACGCGTGGAATTTCGATCGCGTTATATCAGCACGCGTGGAATTTCCAGCGCGTTATATCGCCACGCGTGGAATTTCGATCGCGTTACATCACAACGCATAACATCGTCATGAGTTATATTTACCTCGCGCTATATGACCTGTCGAGTATTTCGATTCACGTTATATCAACACCCCGTAGATTTACCACGAGTTATTATATCGCCACGCGTGGAATTTCCATCGCGTTATATCGCCACGCGTGAAATTTCTATCGCGTTATATCGCCACGCGTGGAATTTCATCGCGTTATATCGCCACGCGTGGAATTCCTAGCGCGTTATATCGCCACGCGTGGAACTTCCAGCGCGTTATATCGCCACGCATAACATCGTCATGAGTTATATTTACCTCGCGCTATATGACCTGTCGAGTATTTCGATTCACGTTATATCAACACCCCGTAGATTTACCACGAGTTATATCGCCACCGGTACAACTCGTTACCTGTAACGTTGTCGCCTTTATGTTTATCACACGTTATTTCGCCACACGCTACAATTCTTACTTGTACAGCCGCGGTAAACAACTCTGTCTATATCATAAATTTCATGAGTTCCCGTTATTACAACTTCCTTGTTTGCAAAGTAACGAGAGTCTACTGTAATTTGAATAGGAAACGCGTTAAGAAATGTAGGTACAATTTACGTGCGAGCAAAGACAGAAATTTAAGTGGAAATTATGTGTATCTGAAATTAGATAACCTAGTTGTAAGAAATATTTTTCTGCTGCGAAAAGAATAATTGAAGAGGATGAAGACGCAACTTCTTAGTTTCTCATCCATAAAGAATAGACATTTCGTTCACAGAGAAAGTGTTTTAATTAGATTCCATTGGAAAAAGAACCGGTGTTAATACGAAGTGCACGGTATTATAGTTTCATTTTGCGGATTCGAATTAAAATCGTGACGTTTCCTGAGAAATCGACAGAAGCGAGGAAAAAACCACTGTTCGTTATATAACATTTTATCCGAGACTTCACCGTCATTGTTTCTGTTTACGACGTTCACAAATTAAATAGAAACTTAAAATATCATACAAAATTTCGCAGGATAAAAAGTCTAACGCGTTACAGTATTAACAAATTATTTACCTTTTTTCAACCTTGTTGCTGTTATCCTCTATATAATTTCTCTTTTCAAATACGAAAAGTTTTGTAATACTTGCAAACTGTGGTTATGAAAATAGAATTTTGGAACAGAGTTGACAATTTGTGTAAAAGGTTCCTGCTTTTATCGAGTCGAAGATAATTCCAGATTCTCCGACTGCACCTGCGGCTGGCAGATACAAGTTGAGACCGTGCGCCTGGTTGCCTATCGTTAAGGCGCGTCTGACTAACGCTGTCGGTAATCACTGACCAAAAAGCGATGGTAGATTAATTTCAGAACTAGTCCGATAAATTATATCCTCGATTCAACTTGTCTATGAATGTTCTTTAGTTTCCGAACAATTTGGATAGCTGGGCCATCCATGTCATTTGTTTAATTTTAGTTTTAGTTTTGTTTAATTCAGTTTTCGAAATTGGAAACTTTAGGATTGTAACAAATTGAATATTTGAAGTAACATCAAAAGTGTGGTAACAAAATGTTAAATCTACATATCTCTCTCATCATGTTATATCGCCACGCGTGGAATTCCCAGCGCGTTATATTGCCACGCGTGGAATTTCCAGCGCGTTATATCGCCACGTGTGGAATTCTCAGT